CCGTCGACCAGACTGGAGTGCAGTGGCATGCTCCCGGCTACTTAATTTTTTATTGTAGAGATGAGGTCTCACCAAATTGCCCGGGTGGGTCTCAAACCATGGGCTTAGTCAATCCTCTAGCCTTGGCCTCCCAAAGTGCTGGAGCCATGCTTCTTGTACTGCCTGCAAAACCATGAGCTAAATAAATCTTTCTTTATAAATTACCCAGTCTCAGCTATTCCTTTATAGCAACACAATCAGATTAAGACACATGGTCATAGGGATACAGGCATCTGAGCCAAGCTGGAATGCAGATCTCAACTTTTAATGCTGGATGATTTGTATTGAATGGCTAGTTTTATACAGCCTTTCAATGTTGGTGTTTATGGTTACTAAAAAAAAAAAAGTAACAAATTCACTTCTTTTTCCAGCCGATAACAACTGCTTAACTGTCTTAAGGCTTTTTTCTTGCAGTATTACATAATTTTATAATATTGCCTGTTGGATTTGTGTGGAAATCAGTTAGTTCAAGGATGAAAGAATAAAGATAAATTATGAATTAATTTGAAATAATCATAGAAAGCAGCTGCTCTAGAAAACTGGGAGAAAATAGTATAGTAAGTTACTATCTGGTGTAACTTCCAATTAATTGTAAAAAATTATAGAGGTGATCTAGATACTGTTTGTGAGCTTCTAATGAGCCATTATGAATAATTCAAGTACTTATGTAAAGATGGACCAAGGTAGAGATGGTTGTGAATTGATTTGCTATATTTTATAGTTTTATAATTTGACTTGTTTCAAAATTAAAATTTTAAACATACTAATTCTACTGGCTAATAAGTAAATATTATCAGGCTCTGAATTTAAACATTTTTATAAATACAGAAAAGTACATTTTTAATAATACAAATAAGTATAAAAATTAAGATGAGTGCAGAATGAAATCCTTATTAAATTGTATTACCCCACAAACTATTAATTTGTCTTAGCCTAATTTCTTTCCTCCTCGGAAACTAAACTACATTTTCTACTTTAATACTGTTTAAAAAGGACTTTATGAATTACTGAATTTATTGGATGGTACATCTCCCCCCCACTGTCTTTTATCAGTTTGCTTTTGTGTGAAACTTAGATTCCGTTTAATTTTCCATACTTTTTTCTTCAAACTTCTGTTATATGCGATTTAATTTATACTATTCATGGACTTTAAGAAAAGAAAACACTCCAGTTATATAGTACTATCTTATTAGATACTTTTTAAAACCTAGATTTTCTGCTTTATGCATTTTTCTTTAGTTCTTTTAAAAAAGTATTTATGCCTTCCTTTTTCTTTGGCAACAAAATTGATCGAAGTTGGAAGTACTCTGAGAAGATTAAAAAGCGTTCTTCAAAATTTCCCTCATAAATTAGACTTTTAAGTTCTTAGTCCAGGATTCTGTGAGAATGGGCCAAATTTTCAACTGCCTAAGACTTTTACCAGATCCCTGGCACTTGATTTAGGAAAACTGGGGAAAATCATTTATTTTCATGAAAATAAATATTTCTATCTTAGTCTGATTTTGAAGGGTGAAGAAAGTAGGGAATTAAATGAACATTTTTTGAATACCTTCTCTTGGTCAGGCACTGTGCTCTAGGTACTTTCGCACAGTGCTCACAACAGCTGTGTGAGGAGATAAAATCCTATCGAGCAGAGATTAAACTGATTCCTCAAGATTAGTTATGGATGTTGTAAATGGAATCCGAACCTAGGATCTTTAAATCCTTGCTCTCTTTACTACTTATGGCATAGCCCTCTTTTGGTAGCTGACAAAAATAAACTAATGTACTTTTTGATTTCTCATATTTTTGAGATAACTCAAATGTTACTTCTTCAGGGAAGTCTTCTCTTTGCCTAAGATTTGCTGGACTCTCTGCTCACACACCTCCCTTGAAATTCCTTTGTAATGCTACTTCTGGGACCAAACTGTGAATACCTTGAAGGCAGGACCATATCTGTTTTTGCTCATTGTTTTATATTCCCAGTGTCCTGCATATATACTCATATAGAGAACACTTAATATCTGTTGAATATGTAGAATGCACACACACACACACACACACACACACACACCACAGAATGTGAGATACTGGTGTGGTTTTAGTGTTGATTTTGTAGTGTGGGGAATTTTACAAATCTCAAATATTATGAACTATTGAGTAGAGAAAAGACCAGACAACTAGTCCCTCACAATTTAGGTAAATTCCAATGGGTTCCTCTGTCTTTTTTAAATCCATTGTCCATATTGTTATTGTTTTCTAAAACAAATTTTTTAAAGTAGTCTATGGCTCACTTGTGTATTGCAGACTCCTTAGGCAGCTTGCAGAAAGCCCATCAGAATAAAAAAAAAATCACCTTTTCAGTCTGTTTCCCAGGGCTCTCCTTTAGGATCTGGCCATAGGTGAGTATTTCACACTTCTAAGAGATGCCATGCACCGCCCTTACAGGGTCTATTTTTGAGAAACTCTCACTTCTTTGAGCCTCAGCTTTACCGTAATCTGAGTGACATCTTTCTCAGCTTTCCTAAGCAGTTGCTTTTTTTTGTTCCCACTGTACTTTATATACTTTGTATGTAATTTGCAATCTCCTGACCTCTTATTTGTTCCAGTTGCCTCCCTCATTTGGCTGTGAACACTAAAGATAGACTA